GGAAGGAGGCGTGTGCTGCACACAATAGCAAGGAAGTACCTGGTGTTGTGGCAGTCAATAGTGTTTCCCCTATGCTTCAGTTCTGCTTGGCCATGGGAGAGGCACGGGTGGCAGAAATGCAGGAGCTGTCACCTTGCCTGGGCTTCCTGGTGCCCTGCTCTTGCATGCAGGGATGGGGAACACTGGTGATTCAGGCGTGTTTGGGAGAGGTGGGTGGTATATGATGTTCAAACTTGTTTTTACTCTAGTCTTGCTGCCTGTAGCCTCTTCATTCAGTTCTGAACAGCTCCTGTTCTCCCAGCAAGTCTTCAGTGTTGTTTTCTTCTCCAGTCCACCCTGAGCTCCCTTTGCTGGGCAAACACCCAGGCAATCCCGGCTGCACTGAACCAATGGGGCTGGAGGCATCACTGGACTGATGCTGGGATAAACTTGTTTTTGGGGGAGAAGTGAGAAGGGAGCAAGGGCAGCCAAATGGGCTCACAAGACAGACTTGCAGGCAGCAGGTTGGGGAGAAACCAGCCAGCAACTCATATGGGACCCCCAGCCAAAGCAAGTCAAATGGGTACTAAAGCAATAAATTTGCTCTCATTGGCTGGAAGGGGGCAACTGGTGGAGGGTCTGGGGCAGCATCAAGACAAAGAGATCCACAGGGGAGACCATGCATGTGAGGCATAGATCTCATCAATGTGAGCAGAAAGTGACTGGTACCCAGACGTCAATCCATTGAACTCTGCTAGAATGAGCACGTCTGAGTTGAAAGAGGAAGGAGAGACGCTCAGATCTCCATTAAACTTTAACGCTCAGCCCTGACTTGCGTTCAGCGAGACAGTAAAAGACTTAGGATTGCTGGGAATTGATCCAAGTCACAATGCAAAATACCAACGCTGAGCCTTGGAGATGGTGCAAGGAGTGAGCCAGAGCCCAGGACAGCCGTGGAGCAGCTCCCTTGCAGAAAGCAGAGATAAATAAAAGAAATTAAGTCCTAGATGGGAGAGCCCAGTGCCATCCTTTTCCCAAGCCTACCTCACCCTCTCCGAGTGCTTTCAGCTCAGAGCAAGGACACCTACTTACCCACAAATATTCCCTTCCTTGGTTCCATGCCTGGGTTAAACCTCTAGCACAGGGGCATTAATGCAGTGCATGAATAAACTTTTAAACTCTTGTGAGTGTTTGCTCAGCACCCATGAATCCAAGCCCCTGAAAGAGCCCTTTCTTCATGGAGGAGATGGAAGAGGAGCTCCAGGGAGGTGCTGAGGGTGGCACAGTAAATTGGCATAAAGTTAATAAAGTTATTGACTCCTCCAAAATAACTAATCCGTGCACAGGACTTCTGCAAGGACATCTCACTGCAGAGTCACTTACTGGTTCACAAGAAATGAAATTACAGGCTTCCGTAGCTGTGTCTCTGTCGTGTTGGGGATGGGACAAGGAGGAGTTTTGGCTGAAGCATCAGCTCTGGAAAGGGTTAATGGCACATGAGATATGTTTAGTGGGATTTGGTATTTTTTTTTAACTTCAACAAACAAAGCATATGAGAAAATACAGTTCACAGTTGAGTCCTGGCTGTCTGCCCACTAGGGCAGGGAAAATGCAGATGGTTTGAAATACCCACACGCCTGCCTTTCTCATGTAGCCTGTGGCTCAGGGTCTCCAGCAGGTCTCCCCCACATTGTATTTGAATAATCAAGGTGGCAGCAGCGCAAACTGCAGTGTAAAAGTAGCACTGAGACAGGAGAAACTTTCCTTGAGCACCATCGACTTTCTCAGACACACAGAGGAGCCAGGATCCTGTAAGGCTCTGCTTGTTCAAAAATAGTAATTAGCTCTCAAAGTAAATAGGTGTTAACAGCAACAAAGAGCTTTGCCACAGTCTGGGTAAACACTTCAGAATCAATTTAATTTCCCTTCTCCTGGCAGATGTAATCTGCAATTATTTTCAGGTTGGGGCAGGGAACAAAGCCACTGGGGCTGCTCCTTGGGACAGCCTGCAGGACCCACCACTTCACTGACATTTAGGCCTCTGAGGCTGAAACGAGCTTCCTTCCGCCAAACCAGATGTGTAACGCAGCCGGTGATCAGCAAAGCCAGCAGTGAACCATAGCACGACATTAAACCGCCCTAAAGTTCAGCCTATTTCTTAATCCTGAGAGTCCCCCAGTCTAGACAGGATATGAAGGACTAACATGAAAACCAAGCAACAGAATATTTACACTCCCCCATCAAGCTGCAAACAGAAAGAAGCATCAAAGGGTGTTTAGCCTTTTAATCACTTTGCCTTTTGGGAGCATGGGCAGCACCCAAACATGGTCCCACACCGGTGCAGAGGATTTGCAGCTAGTTTGTATCACTGCATGCAGCTGCATCCAGGTTGTCCATTTGCTTACTAAATTGTGCTAAAAAGCAACTGAAAACCTGTCTTTTCCCTACCATTACAGGGAGCTGGTGAAACATGCTTTTACCCAAACTGCCCCAAAAGATAATGAGTTTGTCCCCCATCACCACTGCGTTAAAATCAAACTAGTGATCAGTGGCTGGGACTCAGCTGATGTGGGATATCCTTCTGAGGAGGAGGTAATTGCGCATGTGATGGCAGCTGTAGTAATGTGTTTGCCAGTGATGGAGAATTTACCCGGCTGGGATGTGAATACAATCCAGCTGGGAACAGCCTGGCTGTGTAGCCAGACCCAGCAAGGCTTTTGGGCCAGTATAAAGCAGTCACACGCCCAGGAACAAGTACAACCAGAAAAATGTGCACAGTGACTTCCCCAGCAGTTTCTGATCTCGTTCTGCCATGCTGACTGTCTGCTGGGAGAGGGATGTTTAGTTAATTAATTGCTACAATTAGCATGGAGCTATTCCTGCCCATGATGGTTACCTTTTCCTCCCCTTTTTGGTTCCTCTGATTACCGATTCATTCATTCTCCAAGGCAGAGGCCACAAGGCACAGAGAGGCTTGAGGATGAAGGGATGAAGGTTGAAGAACGAAATGCCAAGTATCCCAAGATCTATTTCTACCCAGGAACTGTCTTAATCTCATGCAAACTTCTGATCCTCTCCTACCCATAAACCCAAGACTTCAAGGAGGTGATGAAGAGAGAACACAGCAGTTACAAACATTGCTACAGCTGTTTTATTTCTCTCTCTGGCTGACCCGTCATGAAGGGCAGGTGATGGGCTCATACATGCCAAGATGGACAAGACTCCCACACCCATCCCACTCCAATGATCCCTCAACTTCTCCAGCCAGCCTTGGGCCATGGGTCCTTCAAATGAACATTATCTACTCTGGGAAACTGATGATTTATTTGCCATTACTTAGCAGGGATGGTGAAGGAAAGGTGAGCATGGGGTCACCCGTGCAACAGCCAAAGTGAAGCACAAACTCTGAATAATTCATGATCCCTCTTTGCTGCAGCATCTGGACACATCTGCTGCATTCACCCCTGTAGGCTTTCTCTTGGCTTACTCAGAAAATCACGCTTTGGCAGCTGGGTACTGTTTCAAGTGGGTACTTTCCCTGAAGCATTAACGAGCTGTGATTTTGTTACAAATAGGGATTTTTGTTCCTCTTTTGCTGATGTCACTCGATGATCCTGTAGGGAATAGTGCTCAGATCTCTGCAGCCTGATGATCCCTGTGTGCCCTTTGGGACAGATGTACTTGCAAGCAGGAGATTGTTTTTCCTTTTGCTGCACAGATTTATATTTCACTGAAGTCCTGTATCGATCCTGCTGCCGCTGGGCTAAAAGCTCGTTTTACTAAATGAGAAGAAAAACAGTTCCCCCAACTGAACTCACGCAAAATGGAAAATCCTGCAACAAAACAGCTCCTAAAAAGGGGGCTTGAACAATTTTGCTGAACCTTGAGGGCTGCGCTGCTGATATTGGAACGGTATGTAATTTATTTAGCCTGACCTTTCCCTAAAAGACCGGGTTGGGGACGTTATCAAGGATCCTTTCTACCACTTGTACACCCATTGCCAAGGTGACATCCTGTTTCATGCGTCAGCCAGTGAAGATTGCATCCGTGCTGCTGTGATGCTTTGTTTGCTGTCCTGCCTGACAAGCTCTTGGCAGGGTTTCAGCTCCCGCGGATGGCAGCTGCTCCACAAGGGACCAAAACAGATTCAAGCTGGATGTTATTATAGGGAGTTTCATGCAGATAGAGCATGGGACTGGAGTCCCTTTGGATGAGACTGGATCATGGATGAGATGAAGCAAAGATGCCCAGAGGTGCTACCAGGTATAATGGGACTGGCAGGTGACTGCAGTACTGCACACCAGGCTCAACTCCTCATCCCATCTCCCTCAGGATTTATATGTGACCTCATGGTACTGGGAAAGCAGAGGAAGCTCACCATTGCTTAATGCAGCAGCTTGCCAAATGCAATCGAGTTTGGATGCTGAAGCATAACCGGTAGAACAGGTCCCACAACTGCACAAAACTATGTGGGGTTTTCTTTCCCCCTCCCAGAGGGCGCTTTCCCAGAGGGTCCCAGGAAGAGACAGGGATGTAGGTGTGGGGTATGTGTCTGTCCTTCACATGAAGCCTGTCAGCAGTGGAGAAAACTGCAGTGGGGAGGAAAATGGTTACCATAAAGCTTCTCCCTCCACTTCACCAAGGGACTGAAACCTCTGAATGAGGAGTATTTTTCACTGCTGCCCCCCATCACTCTCAATGGCATTTCAGTGACACATGGGGACAAAGGCTGCAGCTAAAAAAGTCTCCAAGCCCTACCAACTTCTTGTAAGAGACTCCATGGTCTGCAGTTATGGGGGGTAAAAATTACTTAGGTAGCTCACAGGAGCAAAGCCAGCTCTGCTTCAAATGTCAAAAGTAGGCAAGCTTCAAGGAAGCCCATCCATTTCCCACTCCAGCCCTGCCAGCCTTGTGGCAGGTTGAACTCCCCTCCCACAGGTCTGATCTGAAAGAGGAGCTGGGCACCATTAGGAGGACAGGCCAGAAGATGCTCTTGGCCATGGACATGGCTCTCATGGTACCTGTGTTCTCCTCGGACTGGTTGAAGCCACAGATCTGACAGATGCTGCGAACCCATTTGTTCATGTCGTCCTCAGTCTCAGCCACCAGGTAGAAGGTCCTGTCACTTGTCTTGATGTCAAAGATGTAGCTGTCTTGCAGTTCCTTCTTGTTGAAGGTCAGGCCCGCGTCCACTTGCTCGCAGAAATTGAGGTTGATCACACGCAAAGGTTTCTTGGAGTGGTCATTTTTGTAGTACTCCAGGACGTCGGGGTCGCCACTCATCCGACCACTGCGCAGGACGAACCAGCGTTTCTTCCATGCCTGAAACCAAGAAAAGAGGAAGCATGAATCCCATCACTGAATCTGTGAGAGCGAAAAACCACTACTAGGCACAGGGTGACACAGAGGGACACGACACTTCTCCATCATGGGATGCTTCGGGATACTGCTCAGGACATCCCTGCAAGAGGTGCATAGACTCAGCTCAGTTCTTCATTTCAACACTAAAATCCCACTGGTTATCCAGGAGAATTAAATACTGAAATAGTATTGTAGCATAAGATGACCCCAAAAAGGCTCAGAGTCTTGAGGCTCAGAGCAACCCTGCTCCTACCCTACAGCCCAGCCATGCTCCCAGGACCCAAACACCCTTCTCTCCTTGATGTGAAATAATCTGTGGAGTGGCAATACCAGCCATAGCAGTGCCAAAATGCCTTTCAGCAGCTTGGAGTTGCTCAAGCACTTTGGACATAGCACCCTTGGTGGTCCGACCTTCAAAGAAACTCCTGAGAGTATCATAGCATGTGTCTGCAGATACCAACCATGCCAATCCCATCTCTGTTTAAATGCCAGGATAGAAAGACTAGTAAAATCAATAGGGAACTGGTTTGTTTTTTTAAATATCAGGAATAATGCCAGGGAGGTCCATGGAGCATCCAAGCTTCGTTTGCTTTTCAGCATCCTTGCCTCCCTGGCACGTAGGTAACTCCTTAGCAAAGAAAAAGGTTATCATTGATTCTTCCAAGCACTGCTGACGGCAGCCCCTGGCCAAACCACTCATGGAATGGGCTCAGAGGGTTACGGAGTTTGAAGTAAATCAGTAAAATAAATGTCAGCCATCAGCCCTGGCCCTGAGAGCTGCAGCCCTACTGCTCTCCCTATGCCAAATGCAGCTGGGAGCCCACAGGAGGGGGAATAACCACAATGATAATATGCTAAATGCTAAAACTTAAATTACATGGAAAACTCTGTGTTGTAACTCCCCATCCTATGGGATGGACAGTGGGTTTTTCTGGGGTGTCCTCCGCATGAGGATCATGGCACCTATGTGAGGGACGCATGGGTTAAGGGACCACCTTGAGCTGCTCTCCACTGCAAGAGGTCTGCTGCCTTGCAGAGGCCTCAGGTCCCAGGGCCTATGGAAGGAAAGGACTACATCTAAGCATGGTCCTAAAAACAGTTTGTTCAGGATGTCTTTGAAGGCAGTGAAGGTTTGAGAGGTGCATGTGGATGATTGGGGCGATGTGGATTATTACCAGTGCTCCTGCATTACCTGACACACATCTTGGTTTTAACCAAAGGATGCCAAAGCATGCCAGTATGATCTCCACCATCCCACTCTGGTTGTGGACCTTTTTTTTTTTGTAATGAGATTTACCTCATTTCAATTTTTATATATGTAACCAGTTTTGGAATTCATATGATTATAAGAGGTTAGGTGATGAGGAAGCACATGATGTCCCTAAGAAGGAGAACCAAAAGCCACAAACATCTTTAATACCCAAGAGAGGCAGCAGGGCGAGCGGTGTGCTGGGTCCTCCATGATGCTCCCTGGGTGCTGACCACAGCCCTGTGAGGCTTTGCATATTGGTGAGGGACACGTGCTAGAACTCAGCCAGCCAGCTGCACCAGGATCCCACAGTTTTGGAGAATTTTGTGGCTGTAATAAGGGTAAGAAATGCCTGCAACGTTTTCCCTGAACAGTCTGATTCACACCATCCTTCTCAAAGGCTTGAAAATAGCTTTTGGTGGTGTCTTTTAGATTTGTAACCAAATTAGTTTTGCACTAATTCTCAAACCAGGTCCTGGTGCCAGGAAAGCAACTTCAGTGCAATCTTCTAAAGGCAGCGAAGCAGCAAATTGCTTAGCAGGAGGACGTGCAAGGCTGGCAGATTTTAGTTTAATCTAGGAGACAGTCACCCACTTCTCATCAAAATGTCTGTTTTTAGATGAAAAGCTAGACACACAGCAGAGCTGTGTCCATCAGGGAGGGAAAAAAACAATTTCACCAGGCAGCAGCAATAATTTGCTAGTCTATCTCCTCAAAATGGTTCACCCAAATCCTTGGAAAACAAACTCATGAACATTTTTTTTCTAGTTCTAGGTGGAAAATGTCCCACTAGCTTCTTCCTGTTAGCACTGAGTTATTTCTTTGCAGCCACTTAGCAGGGCTAAGACATGGACATACATCAGTGAAAGAAGATGCAGTTGTGCAACCACATGAACCATCACCTGAATGAAGACACATCCAATACCAGTTCCAGCTGCTTAGCTCGTTGCTTTCCAACCATTTGGAATGCAATCTTACAGCATCCCTTCATGGCTGAGACATTGCATTAAAAAATCCACGAAGTACAGAAACCAGACTCCAGAATTTAGAGTTCTCATGGAAAAACAGGAGGAAATGCTGCAAGCAAGGCAAATGATGCTACCACAGCTTCTCTTTTAATCACTAATGTGAGAGTCACAAGTTCTCCAATTCTCTTTGGTCTGTCTGATAGCAATGAAAAGCCCCACACAGTCAACATTTGGCAGAGAAAATAGTATAACACCCACAGTCTGGTGGTATTGAAAAAGTTCTAACATAGGCTGATTGAGAAAGAACGGGTCTTGTCAGCACAAAATTTCTTGGGAAGCTTCAGGAGCTGGAGTATCATTGGAGGATTGCGACCACTGGACAGGGCAGCACCCCATCAGCCTGGGATGACCACCCAGTCCACCTCTGCAAGGTGCCCTCCTGATGATAAAGAGTCACTGGTGTTCTAAAACAGCTTCTGACCCAGAAACAGCTCATGGCAGCAGCCTCTGGAGTGCCTGTCCTGGACAGGTGGCTGCAGGCAGCACAGCTGGAGGCATCTCCCACCACACTTCCCGGCAGCAAGGCCAGCCGTTCCTGCCTCCTAAGATCAGCTTCTGAGCCAGAGGAATAAGCACTGATCACTAGAAGAGAAGTAAACAATAAAGAAATAGCCAGGAACCTCCTTATTTTTATAGAGATTTTCCCCATTTCTTTGAATTTTTGAACATTGAGCTCAGCAAGCATATTTTATTTCTTCCCTGTGGATTTCCTATGTCTTCATTAGGAACAGGGCTCAGCTTGCCTATTTACCAATTAAAAGCTATCAATACCATCCAAATCTTCCACATTTAGGCTTCCCTAGCATATCACCTTCCTGCAAGAGGGTGATTTAAGGGTCTACTGATCACCACCTATGACAGCAGTAAGGTGTATGTGATCCATATGTGCACAGCAATCTCAGACAATGCCAAACCAGAGGAGGATGCAACTCCATGTGAACGCATACGCTCTTTCCAAGATCATCATCTCCCGGCATGGGGCTGTGATGACCAACATGCACTTCCTCTTCCACTTGAATTTTCCTTCTCTCCTTACTTCTATTTCTTCATAGCTCTTCTGCAGCCCCTGTGGCCATCAGTTCACTCCTGCCAAAGCAGTGTGCCTCACCAACACTGGTGTGAGCCAAGGGCTGTGTTTGTTTAACAGCTTTACAATGCAGAGTGGCCAACAGCTTAAGAGCCATAAAAGAGTTGGTGCCTTTGCAGCACAAACTTCCAGCTGTGTGGTCCTTTGCCTGCATCAGGTTCCTTCACAGTTCAATTACAGCTGCCAAAGGCCCTTAGTATCACTGAGAAATATTTTGACACTTGGCAAGTATTTCTTTTTTGTTAAAAAAAATGCCCATGCCCATCCATCATGCTCCCATTGCAATGTGAATCCTCCTTGGGTACTGAGAACTGTAACTGCTGCTTGATTGCTTTCCACCTCAACAGTGCTGTGGCAAGTTAAAGTTTACAAAACTGACTCCTTTCCAGCTGGATGCTACTTGGAGCTGGTTGTTTTATGGAGAGTTGGGTTGGCAGAGATGAAGTTGTGCTTCTGGTTCATTGGCTGAGTGTGCTTGGCAGGGATGCTCTGGGGGGCTCAGGCAGTGGTTGGGACCCTTCCTGTCCCTTCTGCTGTGTGAGGAAGTGGCTGCTCTTGAGCAACTGAGATACCACCACATCATACCATACCATAGCATACCATACCACACCACACCACACACCATACCACACCATAGCATACCATACCATCTGCCTACCACCACCATACTATCTTCCTACCACTCCTTGAATGAGGTCCCTCATGTCCCCTGTGGCTGTCCTGATGTCACAATGCTGTAACAAAGCTGGTGGCCTCAGGGCAGAGAATCTGGGGCCTCCAAGTACCCAAATGCAATTCAGGACAGGCCAGACAGAGGCTTTATTAACTATGATTATAGTGAGAGGACATTTGGACAGCATCTTCCCTTCTGATTCCCCGTTCTCTGCAAAGTGATTGCAGATATCCAGCCTACATGTTGTTTCCAAAAAAAAGGAGGTGAGGAAAATTGTAATTTCAATGTTAGTAAAGCCAGGTATTCATCCCCGAGGAGCTTGCCAAGTGCCACAATCCTAAGAAGGAATCAAATAGTGACAATATGGAGAGATGGCTCTTGGTGGGGCCTATAGGAGTGGTCCACCCAGTATTATTTTAGCTCTGAAGTGAGGGGTTGGAAACAGTCAGAGACTGTTAGTTTTGAGTTGAAAGGGATGTTCTTACAATCAGGATAAACTCCTATATTTCAGATCTCTCAAATGTGAAATATTATAAATTTTACCAACACACCCTTATAGCATATGTAAGGAGAAGAGAAGAGAAATATATATTTCCCAGGAAATCTCTCTGCCCTGTTCCTTTTCTCCCTGACATCAACTTCATGCCCACCAGCACTGCACACCACCAGTGTGAAGTAAACCTTCCAAAATCTGATCTGACACAAATCACAGGGTCTAATCCAGGCTGGCAGGCAGGATGAGCGACCTAGCCATGACATCAGGCAAATTTCTCACACCGGGATGAAGCCACAGAGTGAGCGATTCAAGGAGGAAACCCCACGGCAGGGCGAGCAGGTGCTTGTGTCCCAGATTTGCTCAGAGCCAGAGAAGCTCTAGGTGGTGCAGGATAGCTCCTGTGTCCCTGTGGCCACCAGCTG